ATTTAAAAATCTATCTTACTAAATTGATATTTAAATTTAAAAATTAATTATATTAGAATATTAATTGATTTTTCAATCTAAATATCAATATTTAATAAAATGAATTTCTGAATTTTAAATTAAAATTTTGATTTCCAAATATAATTTAAGATTCTAATTTTTTAAAATTGATATGCAATAATCTCATAAATAAGTAAATTATATTACTATTATAATTTTTTGAAACAAAAAATGTTATTGAACTAATTACGTTTTTAACTTTGGTTGTTTGTTTTGGAGACTTATTAAATGAGTTATTACCCCTTTTTTTTTTTTGGTTTTGGTAAATAGTTGATTTCTAGTTATGGTTGTCATGGTTGCTAAATTTTTTTGCATGAAATTAAAGGAAAAAATAAGAAATGAAAGTGTCATTAAACGCCTTTAATTTATGGTAACACATTTTTTTCCTCCATGTATTTTATTTTACGAGGTGAGATTCTTAGAAATAAAATATATTAAACTCTAAAATCTTTTATATGAAAAAATGTATCATGTATACCTGATCTTGAAAAATTATATGATCAAAGTAACAAGAAAGCAGGCAAACCTAGCTCCTTACCTTAGTCCTTGCGCAGGGTATAACTTCGGTGCAAAAATAACTGTCATCAAACCAAGAGGAGAAAAATAAATAGGTAAGAAAATTAAATTATAAGAAATTAATTAAAGATATCTGATCTTCGAAACAAAAGCATATATACCATAACAAATTGTTAAAAAAATTTATTAATTTGTCTTTATGCATCAAACAAATAAATGAGTGAAAATAGTAGAAATTAACTGCTTGTATGTATATATTTACCTGGAAAATTAAGATCTTAAAGCTTGCGGAGGAGAAACAAAGTTATGGAAGAAAAGAGAGTTCATAAAAATGGCGACGAAGCAATTTTAATAATGAAGAATGGCTTCATCAGCAGAACTCCTTATGACCCTTGTGAGCTTTCGTAGAAACACCCAAACTGATTTTTAGCCCCTTCCTAGAAAATGTTTAGAAAAAAGCAGGATAAATGGTTGATTTCCTGGAAAATACTTCGAAAGCAAGGGAAAGGAATTCGTCGACAATAATTGAAACGCGACAAACCTGAAAAAGCAAGTCCAAATGAGAACGGGTTGATAGCCCCACATGCACATGAGAAGGTATAATGCCAAGAAAAATCCCTGAACTTTGCACAATTAAAGTTTCACTGTTATCCTTTTATTACAAAAAGAATCATCAAGATCATCAAAAGTTGAAATTTTGAATAAAGAGTCAATTATTGTCTCTCTATTAACGGACCTTATAACACCGTTTATACAAAGGTTAAGTAAGTTGTAAAAACAACGGAGCTTTTTTCTCATTTTTTCATCAACTAGCGGATTTAATGAAGATTAAACTCTCTCGGTTCAAAT